GGTTTTTTTTTAGCCATTAGGTTAGCACAGGCAGACTGAACCTGCACTGGCAGACTGCATGCAGTTTGGTTGTGCACAGCCAAATGATAGTTTTTTTTTCTTTTTGACTGATCACATAACAAAGGAACAAACAAACACTAAGACTCACCACCCCACACTCAGGATGGAACAGTATCCCTAATGTTCAACTCCTAATCTAAACATGCATGGGTTTGACACAACAAAAAAGAAAAATAAAGAAAAGAAAACTCACCTTTGGTTGCCTCCCAAGAAGCGCTTGTTTAACGTCCTCAACCTTACGTTCATGGAGCTTTCAACTAATGGGTATGGAAAGGTATCTAGAATACCCTCCCGAGCAATGATAGAACGCATAACTTCCATCCAACATATGAGTCACCTCGGCAGGGCCTGGTGTGCGAAAATTCGGTATGACCTTCTTAGCTGGCATGTTGGACCCTTAGTGAGGCATAGGTGGTAGTGCAGCGCCTCAAGCAAGTACTCTTCCTGTTTCAATGTTAGTGAAGAAGGAATAATAATAGGAAGATTGAAATCCTTACCCAAATATCTATACTTGAGATGATCTGGCAAGGATTTCTGTCCTTGCTTTGATTTCAGAATCTGAGCAGATAGGACATGTGATAGTTCTTCAGGTTGTCGACTATCACAGGATAAGGGATTTTTCCTTTCTCAAGCTCCACTTTCAAAGTCATCAAATGCATCGTGATTATGATCAACTTGAAAGACATGAAAAATTTCCTCCTCCTTACCTACTCGGAATGTCAACTTGCCTCTCCCAACATCGATGAGTGCATCGCAGTTGCTAGAAAAGGTCTCCCAAGAATGAGAGGCACTCCCCGATCTCTTGCATCTCCAGAATTACAAAATCTATTGGGAGAATAAACTTTCCCACCTTCACCAATACATTCTCCACCACTCCTTTTGGAATTTTTACTGATCGATCAGCCAATTGGATAGTGATCCGAGTAGGCTTAAGAACATCTCTCAATCCCAATTTCTTGTAGACTGAGTATGACATCAAATTAATTCCTGCTCTAAGATCACAAAGTGATTTATTGAACTCTCTACCTCCAATGACACATGGAATGGTGAAGCTTCCTGGATCATCCCTCTTTTCTGGTAATTTATTCTGAATCACATCACTACATTCAGAAGTAAGGGCTACCTTCTCTAGATCAGCCCACTTGTGCTTCTTTGTCAGCAACTCCTTTAATAATTTAGCATATGTAGGCATCTGTTCAAGTGCCTCCGCTAGTGGTATGTTGATATGAAGTTGCTTGAAGAGATTCACAAATTTTTTGAAGTTTGGGTCTTCCATGGGCTTCATTAACCTCTGAGGGAATGGTGCGGGAGGTTCATAAGGCTTTACCTCTTCATTCTTGAATTTTTCCACCTTTGCAGGTGCACAGGCAGAATGCTCATGCACAGGTAGATTGCAAGCAGTTTGCCTGTGCAAGTCTGATTTTTCAGCTTTTGCACTTTCTTCCTCTGTAGCTGCTTTGCCCTCCTTTTCTACTGGAATTTCTTGCTCTTTGGATCCTCCAACTCCTCCCCACTCCTCAATGTGACTGCTACAACCATGGAATCCTTTGGATTTCTCTCAGTATTTGCTGGTAAAGTCCCAGGAATTCTACCTTGAATATCTGCCAAAGTTTGAGCCATCTGGCCTATTTGCCTCTCCATAGCTAGCATAGATGATTGCATATTATTGTTGATGGCTAGCTGTTGAGTGACAAATTGATCAAGACCCTTGAAATTATTGTCTGTTTTCTACATATGAGCCAAAATCAACTCCTCCAGCTGGGGCTTCTTCTCTGGTTGAGGCTGCTGCTGTTGAAAACCAAGAGGTGGGATGTTTCGAACACCAGTTGGATTATTGTTTGACCATGACATATTGGGGTGATGTCTCCATTGAGGGTTGTATGTATTTGAATACATACCACCCTGGCCTTGACTTTGTAGATTATTGATATATTGGACATCTTTCAACTGAGCAGCTCCTAGTGGACACATATCCCTATGATGAGGACCCTCGCAAATTTCACATGAAGCAACCTCCTCCTGTCTACCAAGATCAATCTTGGCCAACCTTCGTTCGAGTGCATCAATTTTAGCCTCTCTATGCGTCGAAGGAGCTCCTCCGATTCCGGAAGAAAGGTTGAGTTGAGAGGGTTGGCAGTTCGGAGGTCCATGTTAGAGCACCCTTCATTGGTGCCCCGAACAAATCGCTCCACCATGAGCTCTAATTTTCTCTTTGTCTCCGATTGTGGAGTGACACATGGTCGTGAGGTTTGTCCCATGAAAGCCTCCATGGCCAACTCCAACTTGGATTTCTCCTTGGATTGTTGAGAGAAATATTCTTGATATGGGGAAGCTTCTTGATACCCCCCATTTGTATAATTTGTAACACCCTACCCTATACGTTTTGCATAATCATATTGTTCATACAATTGCAGCGGAATTTAAAACTGGTGTTACATTAATTATCAAAATTTACCCAAATAAAATTTTGACATGAATTACTCGCGTAATGGGCTAACAGTTATTGCAACTAATCCTGCAAAATAATTCATCTGAATCCATGCATTCATATACAAACATATATACTCACAACCATATACACTGGCTTTCATAGCCATAGTCACAGTTTCATACTCCATAACTATATCCCAGACTGATACATGCCCTAGCCGTCACAACTTACAAAACAACAGAAATATACACATATCATCAACTTTCCACACCCGTGGATATCTCACACTATATCAGAAGCTAGTATGCACACGAAAAATGTTCTCAAAACATTTTTACAAAAAAGGTGTGAATCACTGGACAAAATCCCAAGTAGTCATCCAAGCACAGAATAGTTGAAGATCGTACCTCATGTTGCCTTCAACTCCTCACTCTGACCACACCTATGTACTTTCTCCTGCTGCTGCTGATGATCTGCTTACACATGGCATTAGTAGAGGAAAATAATAAAGAGGGTCAGCTCATAGCTGAGTGAGACAATCATCGCATCATGAGTTCATAACAAAGCATACCCTATCATACATCTACCAAGCAAGCCAAAACGCTAGAATGAGACATCAACCATCTGACATACCAATAGGTAAAAGACTCAACCACTTTAACTTATGCAGATGCATCTTATCATGTTTTACTTATAGGCGTCTGGCTACTCCGATGCTCATTACTCTCCCAGGAGAACGGACCAAACATCTCATGGATGTGGTCATATCGGACCCACCACTGTCGTTGTAGTCATCGGAACTGACACCACTCGTGGTGTGGTCATACACGACACCACTCTGGGTGTATACATATATCATGTAGGGTCATCGGTCAACACCACATCAGGGGTGTGACATAACATATCATAACGGAGTAATGGCATGGGGAGCCCTAATTACTGTGTAATTGACCATGAGACCAACACACTCTTGTTTGGTAACCTTATACATGATCCATAACTCATCTCATTTATCTCGGTTCATTACTTGAACATATACATAACTTGGCCATAATTGACTCAATATAGGTAAACCAGGAGTCGTATAATTTCACTTCCTCGAGATAAACCCTCGTGCAAGTCATCCCCCTTAAACATTATAATATCACCATGGGATATATCTTTTCCTACTTGTGCATCCAAATAACACAATCATGAAAAACCATACTCAATCACCTTCTCAAACCATCATAAGGTATATTAACAGTCAAGCCCACAAATTGCAACATATACGCAATCAATAGCATAAACAAAGTCCATAAGGATTAGGGCAAGACAAGAATATCATATAATACTCAAGGGTTCATCATATAGCACAAAAGTCCATACACCACTAATGGCATCATTCTAGTTCACCTAGGATAATTTCTAAGCATCTGTATAGTGATCGTGATACGACAAACCCGGTATGTCGTGCTAATCCCTCACCAGTTCTGGTCGTTCAAACACCGGTTTTAGCTTCTCGTACTAAAACATCAATTTCTCGAATGAACCCAGAATCCCAATTCGGAACCGTCCTAGTATCCCCTGCAGTATCCCCATCGATGTTAGTACCAGCTTTCGGGTCAAATTCTCGATAAAAACACATCAAACCCCAGCCGGAGCTAAATTCAACGCTTCCGACTCCGACCTAAATAATTATCAAAATTCATCGATTAGAACTAGAGGATTAATTAACTCGTTGCAGAAAGTTCGTATATGAAATCTGGATTTAATCCGGCTTCCGAATACTCCAAAACCCTAATTTGGCTTATCGGGAATTCAAGGAATTCCTGAAGCAAAAACTCGTTTTAAAGCTCTAGATCGGTAAACTACGATGTGTGGATGGATTAGGCTTTACTTGCGAGATTTTCGGATCACTTATGCTCAACAATTGAGCTATGATATTTTCCCCCTCGCTTCCCCTGGGCGCCCTCTGCTCGTTCTGCTCTCGGTCCAGAAAATGGAAATAAGAAGAGACAGGATGGGGGAACTAAATGGACCGGAATGAATATATATGTGACCGCTTGCTTCTTTTTTTATATAAGTATATATAAAATCTATAATATATATAATTAATATGTATACTTATCTGATCGATCGATAATATGATTTTTGTTAAAATACTATCAAAACACTCGATTTAAATAGTGTAATTTCTAGCAATCGAAATATGAGTTTTTCCGGAATGGGATGTTACCATTCTCCCCTCCTTCAAAGATTTCATCACCGAAATCTAACCTTGAGTTGCACCCTAATTACGCTTACTAACCCTTAACATGGTCTATCGTACATAAAGCCATTACCTAACTCTTAGGTTAGGTGATTCATAGCATAGAAGGTAACACATAACACCTAAAGTTCCCAATATAAGGTTTCAAACCTATACTAGGTTATCACAACATAAGCACATCAACAAGTTCAAAACATAACTTACTAAGTAAGATTGTTAACCGGTAAAGTAGTTTGCTACCAACTCAAGGTACTTCTCTCACATACTTGCTTCAGTTTCCCATATAGCACTCTCACTATCTTGATTTCTCCACACCACTTTCAACATTGGGATTTCCTTCCTACGAAGAGTTTTAATCTGGTAATCAACATTCTCAACTGGAACCTCTTCAAAAGTTAAATCTGAACCCAACTCGATCTCTTCTGGTTGTATAACATGGGAAGGATCCACTTTGTACCTTTTCAACATGCTCACATGAAATACATTGTGGATTTGAGATAGTTCTGGAGGCAATGCCAGCTTGTAAGCCACTGGTCCAATCTTCTCTATGATCTTATATGGTCCAATATATCGAGGTGCAAGCTTCCCTTTCTTACCAAATCTCATCACCCCTTTCCATGGTGACACTTTGAGAGATACTTTCTCACCCACTTCAAAATTAACGTTATGCCTATTTGTGTCAACATAAACTTTCTGTCGATCTTAAGCTACCCTCAAACGCTCCCCGATTTCCTTGACCTTATCAACTGTGATCTAAACTATCTCTCCGGCCCTGAGATTTTCCTTGCTCCTTCTACATCCCAACATAATGGTGTTCTACATTTCCTCCCATAAAGTGCTTCATACGGTGGAACACGCAAACTACTATGGTACTGGTTGTTGTAAGCAAACTCAATCAGAGGCAAATAATCAATCCACGATTCCTCCAATGCATTACACATGAGCGAAGTAACTCCTCCAAAGTGAGGATGGTTCGTTCACTCAGACCATTTGTTTGATGATGATAAGCTGAAGTAAAATGAAATTTAGTTCCCAAGGCATCATGTAAACTTTGAAAAAATCGAGATGTGAAGCTCGAGTCTCGATCAGAGACAATAGAAATTGGCACACCATGCAATTTGAAAATCTCCTTAATGTATAGTTGAGATAGAGTCTCCAGTGATGGTTTCCATCTAATGGGTATAAAGTGAGCCGATTGGGTCAGTCACTCCATAATAACCCATACTGCATCTTTTCCCCTTGACGATGGGAGACCATATACAAAATCCATTGTGATTCTCTCCTATTTCCATTCTGGAATCGGAAGTGGTTGCAGTTTCCCTACAGGAGCTTGAAGTTCTTCCTTAACTTTCTGACATACCAGAAATGTGAAAACATGTTTAGTCGTTTCCTTTTTCTTCCCATGCCACCAAAAATATGGTTTGATCGTGTGATACATTTTCGTTGCTCCTGGGTGCATAGCATAAGCAGAAGAATGAGTTTCATCTAGGATCTCTTTCCTCAAGGTATCAATATTAGGAATACATGCTCTTTCATTCATCTTCAACATGCCATCTACCATTTTAAATGGGCTTTCTTTTCCTTCCTCAATGTCTTGAATGAATTTTGCCAACTCAAGGTCCTCCTTCTGCTTCTCATGAATCTTGTCATGCAACAAAGGTCGAATATTCAACTAAGCTAGCAACCCTGTTACACCATCCACTTCCAAATCAACATTCAATTCCCTCAAATCAACTATATCGGTTATATTCTTCTTCCCTTTTCTGCTCAGAGCATCAACAACTACATTAGCTTTACCTGGATGGTAATCAATGGTACAATCATAATCTTTCAACAACTCTATCCATCTCCTCTGGCGACTATTTAAATCCTTCTGACCATAATATACTTCAGGCTTTTATGATCAGTTGGGATTTTAAAAGTCTCACCAAACAAATAATGTCGCCAAATCTTGAGAGCAAATACCACCACTACCAACTCCAAGTCATGAGTTGGATAATTTACTTCATGAGCACGCAATTGCCTAAAGGCATAACTCTTCCATCTTGCATTAACACACAACCTAATCCTTGATATGATGGATCACTATACACCACAAACTCTCCCCGATTTGACGGTAATGCAAGTACTGTGTTGTGGTCAATCTCTTCTTCAGTTCATCAAAACTCTTTTGACATGATTCATCCCAAACATACTTGGTACTCTTCCTCAATAGTTTAGTCAATGGTGCAGCAATTTTGGAAAATCCTTCTACAAACCGTCGATAGTAACCCTCCATACCAAGAAAACTTCTCAACTCCGACACATCTTTTGGCGGAGCCTAAATCACCACTGCTTCCACCTTTTTTGAATCCACCTCGACCCCTCTGCCGGAAATTACAATTCCCGGAAATATTACCTCCTTAAGCCAAAACTCACATTTTGAGAATTTTGCATATAATTGTTTCTCCCTTAGAATTTGCAATACAATTCTAAGGTGAGTTTTGTGCTCCTCTTCACTTTTAGAATATATGAGAATATCATCTATGAACACAATCACAAACTTATCAAGATATTCATGAAAAACTCTGTTCATAAGAGCCATAAATACCGCTGGCGCGTTAGTGAATCCAAAAGGCATTACCAGGAACTCATAATGCACATATCTTGTTCTAAAAGCTGTCTTTGAGGTTTCTCCATCTGCCACTTTCAGTTGATGGTATCCAGACCTCAAATCAATCTTAGAAAAGACTAATGTGCCCTGCAATTGATCATACAAGTCATCTATTCTTCGGAGGGGATAACGATTCTTTACTGTCACTTTATTCAACCTCCAGTAGTTAATGCACATTATCATGGAGCCATCTTTCTTCTTCACAAACAAAACCGGTGCACCCCATGGAGAGATGCTAGGTCGAATAAACCCCTTGTCCAGCAAATCTTGCAATTTCTCTTTAAGCTCCTTCAACTCAATTGGTGCCACTCGATATGGTGCGATTAAAATTGGTGTTGTGTCAGGTACCAATTCAATATCAAACTCTACTTCCCTTTCTGGTGGAATACATCCGGAAATTCCCTTACTACCTCAACATCTTCAACCCTCTTCTCATTTACAATAGTTACTTGAGCAAGAAAGGCTTCACAACCTTCCTTCACTAATCGAAACGCTTCCAGGGCAGAAAGAAAACCTTGAGTCTCCTTTTTCTTAATGTCTCGGAATACAACATGACCTTTATCTGGGGTGTTGAATAACACCTCTTTCTTTACACAATCCACAACAGCCCCATGTGTTGCAAAAATGTCCATCCCAAGGATGACATCAAATTCATCAAAAGGTAGCAGAATTAAATCTGCTGCTAGGAGAGCTCCTTCAAAACAAATGAAGGAACTTCTAATAATTGAATCTACCTCCAAGGTATCACCCACTGGTGTTTCAACACATAAGGTATAACCTAGCTTATCTGGGACTAAGCGTAGCATATGTACAAACGTATATGACATGAATGAGTGCGAGGAACCATTATCGATCAAAGCATATAATTGCTTACCAAGGATAGAAAGCATACGATTCACTACTTCTGGTGCCACTTCTGCCTCACCTCGAGTCATTGCATAAACCCTCAGTGCTCATTGTGATCCTGCACCCTGTGTACCCCTTCCTGATGGTTGATCCTGACCACCACCTCTGAAACCTTGTAATCCACTACGGCCTCCCTGGTAACCACCTCTAGTTGGGGCTCTACTAAATTGCAATGAAGGCTTAGACTGAGTAGCTCCTCCTCCTCCCCTATGAGTACAGTTCCTCATGATGTGACTCGGCTAGCTGCATTGGAAACATACTCTAGAAAACTTCCAACGCTCTCCAAAGTGTCTCTTCTGACAAACTTGACAAACTGGAGCCTGTGTAGCTGAGGAAACTGGTGCCTTGTATGATGTTCCCGACATAGATTGACTCGGTGTTCTCCCAAAACCGCTGGAACCTCTCCTGGGTGGGTAACGAGGTCCAGCATAACTCACTCCAAACTTCCTCTTCTTCTCCTATTCTTTGGCCTTGTGTTCCTCTCTACCCTCAACTTCATAGGCTTCATACTTAAGTGTTGCCTCATTGATTGTTGCCATGCTCTCTTCATCAACCCTGTGTATCTTTTCTTTCAACCCTAGGCGCAGACCATGCAAGTATCTCATCTTTTTCTTATGCTTAGTATCTGCCAACCTATCTTCAAAGTGTAGTCGAACAAACTTGATGGTGTACTTAGTAACTATCATGTTCTCCTGCTTAAGGTTGGCGAATTCATTATTATTTGCCCTTATAAAAGCTTTGGGAAGAAACTATGTCTTAAAGGCCTTAGGACTCCTCCCAAGAAAATATTGGCCTTAGATTGATTCACACAAAATTCATTCTTAATTAAATCTCTCACTTGGTTAAAACAAAATTTTACCAATAATTATTTGGAAAATAAGTTCAAAACTCAAATTTTAAAACTATGAAGCATGTAATTTCGTCTAACATACCAATACACATAATCATGTAAAACTCAATCACCAATTTAAGTCATTAGGGGGTACTCCCCTCCTTAGGATGATTTAACCTCCTACTGGGCTTAGTACGCCATAACAACAAAAAGAGGGAATCGGACTCTGAACCAAACTGTAACACCCTACCCTATACATTTTGCCTAATCATATTGTTCATACAATTATAGCATAATTTAAAACTGGTGTTACATTCATTACCAATAATTTACCCAAATAAAATTTCGACATGAATTACTCGCGTAATGGGCTAACAGTTCTTGCAACTAATCCTGCAAAATAATTTGTCTGAATCCATGAATTCATAGACAAACATATATACTCACAACCATATACACTAGATTTCATAGCCATAGCCATAGTTTCATAATCCACAACTTACACAACCACACAAATATACACGCTAGTATGCACACGAAAAATGTCCTCAAAACATTTTTTTACAAAAAAAGGTGTGGATCACTGGCCAAAATCCCAAGTAGTCGTCCAAGCAAAAAAGAGTTGAAGACCATATCTCATCTTGCCTTCCACTCCTCGCTCTGACCACACCTATGTACTTTCTACTGCAGCTGCTGATGATCTGCTTACACATGGCATAAGTAGAGGAAAAGAGTAAAAGAGGGTCAGCTCATAGTTGAGTGAGACAATCATTGCATCGTGAGTTCATAACAAAGCATACCCCTATCATACATCTACCAATCAAGCCAAAACACTCGAATGAGACATCAGCCATCTGACATCCCAATAGGCAAAAGACTCAACCACTTCAACTTATGCGGATGCATCTTATCATATTTTACTTATAGGCGCATGGCTACTCCCATGCTCATTACTCTCCCTGGAAACGGACCAAACATCTCATTGATGTGGTCATATCGGACCCACCATTGTCGGTGTAGTCATCGGACCTGACACCACTCTGGGTGTGGTCATACATATCTCATGAAGGGTCATCGGTCAGGACCACATCAGGGGTGTGACATAACATATCATAACGGAGTAATGGCATGTGGAGCCCTAATTACTATGTAATTGACCATGAGACCAACACATTCTTGATTGGTAACCTTATACATGATCCATAACTCATCCTG